TTCTCGGTTATTTTGTCATTTTTCGCGGAGCGATTTGCGGACAATCCTTCCTGTCTAATATTCAACAATTGACTGACGGAATGACACATTAGGAACTCAAAACTTTATGAAAATCAGGTTAAAGTGACACACAGTCTAGCTAATTTTATTTAAATAGAACTTCAATCAAGTAAGTGCGGCAACGATGAGCGGCGAATATACTGCTTACCAAACGCTGTAATTCACCAACGGCATACTTGGGAGCTTTAATTCCCTAAGCCTTCTTAACAAAAATGCACTTTAGTTGTTCAGTTCAAGTAGTTTCCAGTTTACAAATACATGAATGAATATAAATTAAATTCCAAATCAAATTCATTCCTGGGTTTCAGTCATTTATTGTCGTTTATTATTTTTTGGCACGCAAAAATGCATGCCAAGGCTTAAAGCAGCAACAACGCTACACATAAAAACTGATGATGACGGAAAAATACACCGAAACCTATTTGGATTGATAAATAGAGACAAATGACTGAAACCCAGGAATTAATTTTGATTTGGAGTTACACACAAAGTTAACATGTCTTGTGTTCATTCCGCATGGTTTTTCATCCAAATTGCCCATCAGCATAATAAATATGTGTATGCGTCATAGCACAAAGAAAAAATTCGCTGTTTGCCTGTCAGAGAAGGCGTTTTTCGATGAATTATGGCCGAAAAGTAAAACTTTCCGCTTTATTGGGTCGCTCGTTGACAAAAAATATGCACATTAAGCGAATAATTGTATTAAAAGTGTTCTGGAATCTCGATAATACGGAAAACTTTCATAGTGCAAATTTGTCCAATCCATTAAAACGGATTTGAAGACTTTTTCATTCAAAGAAACTCCACTTATAAATATATGTTTTTCCTATCTTCAAATTTAGATCAAATCAGGTGCAATCAATTCCTTTTAAGGGCTACTTCCCATTGCAGCTTGAATATGTTTAGGTATATTTTCTGGCAAAAAGTTTACATTACGGTGCAGTGAGGTCTGGTGTAACCAATTTTCGCTCTACTTTCCCGACAATGGAAAATGATGCATTTTATCGGGAAAACTCGGTACTTTGTGTGTGATCGCGCTTTCAAAGGGCAGCAAATGCGTCCTTTATATCCACTTAACGGATTTTATCAATTTGATTTTCAAGAATTCAGATTGTTAATTTGCCTTGTACTGAAACAATCGGCAATTTTTTTAGTAAATAAATTGGAAAAACTGTGCAATTTTTCAACGTTGGTGTTGATTCCTTGCAGGTCTTTACCTCTATATCCTGGTGGTTCAGACGTTAATCAGGGACAGTTACAAGCTGAGAGTGTACGTTGCCATCGGATGGGGTAAGTAAGTTGCCTTAAATCAACCTCTTTAAAATTGGCTGTTGTTTTAATTGGCTGAGAACCGAGATTGAAACCCCCAAAACCCTTTATTATTCAAAGGCTTTTATTTCGAGTTCATTCCATTAAAACTTCCTGCAAAATAAGCCGTTGGGTTCCTCTGGCTGTTGGAACAACCAATTAAAATCTGCTTATTTTGACTTGAATTTTATGCCGCAAGTTTACCTGCGGAAATATAAGAATAGTTTCAAAATTTTCGGTGCAGGTCGCTGAAGAGAACGAGCAAACTTTATTTTGTTCCTTAAATTAAAAACGTCCACATTCTATTTGCAGTGGCGCAGATTTATGGGCAAAGTTTATTTCAACCGGTTTTGTTTCAGCAGCTTGATGCAATAATATGAATATTTATGGGGAACTTTGCAGTTTTTTGTCCTCGGGATTTTCTCCGGAGGCAAAGGAAATGTAGTTTTAATTTCAATTTGCCCTGGGGAAGTCTGGGTTGTTTTATAGCCGTTTTTAATGGTCTAGTTCAAGAAACTTTTAATGCTTTGATTCGCGGAAAGTTTCCTACTTTAATTATGGGATGCCGATATAAAAATTGCCTGCGGAAAAACTCAAGTGTGACCGTGACAACTCGTTTCCCAACTTAATCTTGGGACGTTCCAACTAATTGCAGGCCTCAAGGTGGGTTGGGGCAACTTGGAAACTTGCTCTTTAACTGCAATTTAATCATGAAAAATTTTCCATTTCAGGAACTCCTCTATTCTTCATCATCGTGTGGGTGATTTTTAAGAGCATCTTGGAGCAGCACGATCAAAGCGATGCCGTAAGTAGCTAACTAGTAGTGAGTTTTTTTGAGCTGTTGCTTGGTTGGTTTGGGGAAACGATGGAAAATTAAGCCAACACCCATTTTCCTTTAACTTGCGCTCCGCATTAATTTTGTCCACGTTTTGCCACTAACGGCAATCAACTTCATTTACATATCCAATATGGATTTTCCTCTCGATCTGCTCGTCCCCCCCAATTCGGAGGTCAATCCAATCAGTTTTCCCGATGAGCGGTGGACAATGCGATGATCAGAAATTTAGGAAAATTGTCTGAATATCGGAGAATGGAAGGAAGTAAGTCAGCAGGGAAATTTCAGCTCGAGTTTGGAAAGTTTTGATGGCGAACGTTCAATGTTTAACAATTTCTGTGTTTATTTTTTACATTTTTGGCTTCCATTCTGAATATTGTGCAATTTTTCGTCAAGTTTTATCGAATGATTGAACGCCACACTGATTATTGATCTCCTGCGAACAAGGAAAATTATGCAACAATACTTCGAAAAAATTGTCACTCTAAATTCGAAGTAGCTTGAAAGTTGATAGTAGTGCCTTTTAATAGAGAAAATGTTGCTCTAAATGTGCGTCGGTCGGTTAATTTTCCACATTTTCCGTCATTTTTAGCGAATTTTTGAATTCTTCGCTGATTATTATTCCACTCTAACATGGGTGCATTTTATAATTTGCTCATTTTTCGCCAAATATTCGATTACCGGGCCGATTGCTGTTCTCCTGTGAACACAAGAAATTATGCAGTACTATTTTCAAAAATTCCTTGCTTAAAATTGAAAGTAGTGGCAACGTCGATGGTAACGCCGTTTAATAGCGACAATTCTGCTCTAAACGTGCGCCAATTTGCCAATTTTCCACAATCTCCGAAAATTTTCGGCGAATTTTCAATTTCAACGCTGAAATGTTCATGTCAGGTAGGCTACAGAAGTTGTGCAACCATTCCTTTGAAAAATGTTCAGTAAAAAATTGGAGGTAGCTGTAAAATTGGCAATAAAATATTTCAATAGAGTAAATATTGCTCTAAACGATCGTGAATTTCCTAATTTGCACGACTTTTCATAAATTTTCCGCGAATGTCTGAGTATCACGGGCTAATTATCTCTTATGCACTATTTGAAAATATTATGCAACAAAATTTTAAAAATTCATCACTAAAAATTGCAGCAGATCAGAAGTTCATGGTAACGCATTAAATGTAGAGGAAATATTGTAGTAACCTTCAGGTGATTTGCCAATTTGTCACATTTTTCCGTATTTTTTGCGAATTTTTTTATTCCACGCTGGATGTTGTTCACTGTCAATCGTGTGCAACGATTTTTCAAAAATTCGTCACTAAACATCGGAAGTAGATCGAAAGTTGAAAGCAACGTATTTTAGTAGAGCAAATATTCCTTCAACTATCGGGTGATTTTGTTATTTGGCACATTTTCAGTCATTTTTTGCGAATTTTTGAAAAATTTTGAAATTTGCGCTGCATATACCACCAAGATTGTGCAACGATTTTCAAGAATTTCTCATTAAAAATGGGATGCAGATAGAGGGTTGATTTTCACGCTCTTTAATAGAGAATATATTTCTGTATTTACCAATTTGAACTGTTTTTAGTCGATTTTTGGCGTGGAAGTTTTGAAAGCGAGCGCGAGTTTTGTTTGTCTCCAACCATTTTTACAAAAAAATTGTCTGTTATAACCAGATGCAAGGAAAAACTTGATTGCAACGCTCTTCAATAGAGAAAATCTCAGTCTCAGCATGCAAAAATTAGCAGCTTTGCTGAAGTTTCCACTAATTTTTGGGAATTTTCGGAATACAGGGATGAGCACTGTTCCCAATAGAAATTGCGCCAGGATCAGTTAAAACTGGAAACAGATCAGAAATTGATATTAGCGTGTTTTAATAGAGGAAATATTGCTCTAATCGGCCCTACAGCAACTTGCTGATTTGCCAATTTTCTCTTCAACTTTGATGATTTTTACTAAATTGACGTTTTTTAACACTGATTCATCTGAGTGTATGAGATTTAAATGCCCAGATTTTAACCATAAAATGCATGTGAAAATGCAGTGAATGTATTATTCAACTCCGGGCAAGATGGGGATGATAAATATTTGATTATTTGGATGCGCCAAGGTCCCGAACAGTTCAACTAAAGTTTGTTATGCTGTCAACCAGATCTCGGAAGTTGGTTTCCTATTTTAAATTCAAAAGTTCCTCGAATGCCATCTGCAGCTTTCCTGCCGCGCTCGTCTCCTACTTTGGTCAGATTTTAACATGGAAATTTGTCACGATGGACTTGTGCCGGAACCACTAAATTTACCGAAAAAACTTCGTCGGTGTTGGGAAGTTAAACATTAGTGGATAGTTTTGGTGCTTGAGCGCAAAAGAACTGATTTTATTGACTTTTATCTTGAATATTTGTGTAAAAGTGGTGAAGCACTTCCACAATAGACGAGCGAGCAATCGAATGGCAGCGTGCGCCTGAAAATGGTTGCAAATGTTGGCAACTGAAACGTTGTACTAAAGAACCACATTTCCTCTTTGGAAAAGTGGTGCATTTGAAACCATCGAGTTGCATGAAGAAGAATTCAATATTCCAATCTAACTAAACTGGAATTGAAATTTTGCCCTTTTCATCCTGGATCTTATGTTAGCACCCAAACTAGAATGCCATCAATTGGAAGCTCGACGACATTTCCCGATGAAATTATATGGAAAGCGACAAGTTCGGAATACTAAACAAGGCGACTTTTCCATCCAAATGGGTCTGGTGCACAAGCACTTACTTTCCTTAGTTTTGCGCAAAGTAAAACCACTTTACATATCGGGAACAGTTTTCAGCCATATTTGATAAAATGATTTTATATACAGGGTGATTCAAAATCGGCGTCATTCCTCTTGAGGGGTGATAGAGGCTCACTTGGGGAGTACCAGAAAAATATTAAAAAATTTTTTTCCCTAAATTTCTAGAAGATATTAACAGTTGAAGATCGAATTTGAACTTTGTTATTAAGTTTTGACCAAGAAAGCGAAATTTTAATATCAGACACTTAGGCGCAAAATTCCATGTTTTCCGTCCCGTTTTTGCTCATTTCTCGGAAGCAAAATGAGCAAGAACGCTCATTTGTACGTCATTCTGGAGAGAAATAAATGGCCTTTTTAGAAAGTGAACCATGGATAAGGAAATGTTGCAGTTTTCTCAAAAAATGCTTGAATTCAAGAAGTTTTAGATTTGCGTGGTT